TTCAGGAACGGGAGTCCGGTGTCGATGGAACGCGACCAGGGATTGGCGTTCATTTTTCTTCTCTCAGCTCCACTGGATATTCTCGGAAGGAGACCGTGACGTCCGTGGGACGAATTCGCTAGAAACTCCCGCTTTTTGCTATTTCCTACGACCGGACGGAGTCCTTCGCAGCTTTTCGCTTCGGATATTCACGTAATTATTCCCCTTGTAGCTAAATTGCTGTTTTCAGTAGAAGTCCCATCAACCTGACTTGGATTGATTGGGCTTATTTGATCAAGCAAGCTGGAATTTCCATTCATTGAGAGGAAACGGAGCTTTGCCTCATGCTATATTCAACGTCAGTTGAACCATTTATGGCTAATTTTGATTGTTCGAGTGAAGATGCTCGACCAGTATTTCAGAAAATCGTAGCTCTGCATCATTTTAATTCCCAAACTTATTAAACCGAATACTCATGCTAGTAAAGATTGGATGAGAATTCATGCTGCAAAACACATTTAGCTATAACGTGCGTCTCGAACATTATTTTTCCGATGGAGCCGATGAAAATTTCATGAGAGCGTTCCGAGGAATTTTCTCCAAGAGACGTGTTTCCGTCCGTCTGTTAATTCACGACTATAACCACGAGTGCACAAGGAAGTGCATGAGCGATTTTGAATGCCTCAGATTAACGCTCGAAGCGAAGTTTAATCTTTCTTCAAAGTGAATAAAAGCAATTCCAGCCGTTTTCGATTTTTGCTGACCCATTCAACTGATTTTACGCGTGAGTTCATACGCTCAACATACTGTCGTACACGGAGTTGACTCAGCAGAACAGCGTCATTATGATTTGGTCTCCTTTTCGTTATATGAAAATTAGAACACGCAGAATTTGTTGTGGGAATTCAGGTTTCGAATACCATCGCATTCAATAAACCATACTCAAATTTAGATCTGTTGAAGGGAAATGAAGCGGCCTGTTGACATCAACGAGGGTTATTTCCAATATTTAATTCTCCATGATGCAGCAGTTGATTAAACTCTCACTGACTAGCTTCAGTATTATTAACACGGCTTGAGTGAATTCATCGTTGTTTATTTCATGTATCGTGTCATGCGGTAATCAAATGTTGGAATCTTTAGAAATCTTTGATCATTATGGCTGAGAGTTATTCCGCTGTCCATCAGTCCAGATAATCAGCGTTCCACAGAATTCTCGTCTCGCACAGAAAAATCGGCAGTTCATAGATTGAGAATATAAATTTGTGAAATGCTGGTTTTTCGTCAGCATCCCGACCAACCGGCGAAAACGTCCGGAACATTTGTTGAACGAAGATGAACTTCCGAGACCCGCATATACAATATTTTAAAACCGGTGAGTTTCAAATTAGAAGGTTGGAGATTCTCGCTTACACCGGGAAGAGGCCACGGGAAAAATTTGATTTGTGACATGAACATCGCCTATGGGATAAATGACGGCGATCCGCCCCATACGTCCCCCAACGAAATGTCACTTCTAGCCTAATGACGACGGAATGTACGACTCGTCGCAGCGGAAACCGGTTCGGTATCCATCCACAGCAATAAGATTCGGGGAATCAATTCCCCAGTGCGGTTCCTTCCCTTCGGCTGCCTAAATGAGGCAAACAGGTCGACTCGTTCGCTGCTCGCTGTGACACCGCTTCCATCACTGAGCTGTGACGCGTTTCGCGTGTAATTAACTGCCCCGACTCTTTTGCTCCGTTCCCTTCTTGACATTGTGGCGGTGGAGGGCATCAAAGCTCGTGTCGCAGAGCCCAAAACGCGACGCCCACGGGATCGAGACGAACGGCGCCCACCCGACTCGGCGGTACCGGAGGCGGCTGAGACCGATAGCCACGCATTTGACGGAATATGCATGAGCCGGCGAGTCAAATACGGGTCTGACCCAAGGTTCACGAATCGAGGAGACTCATAACGCTGCTTGAATTACGCACTGGAGCAAAGTGATTCGGGCTCAGGCGAAGCGGGTGCCGCCACCCGGCTCCGGGCAACCCGTCACATCCCCTCTGGAACCAGCCTTCCCGCGTTCGCAAAATCCTTTCCGATCCATCGACCCACTGTCGAGTGTTTCTACGCTGAGAAATGCAACAATTGCACATCGCATCGTTGGCCCATCTGTGGCGCAAGCAGACGTCCTTGCCCATTATAGCTCATTAATTGGGGCACTTTTCCTATTAGGTAAAGACACGGCAGCTGCCACATTCATCACGGATTCTGAAAGCAATAAGGATGCAATTGCCTTCTGATGCATCTTTAGTGTGGTCCCGGAGGTTGATACCGAGATAGGACTGCTGTTATTCCTAAGACTCCCGGGCCGCATTATCCAGCGACCTGTTTTCTTGCTCCACATTCGGGGTCCCCCTACAGCGATGCGTGTGGGGTATCGAGTCCTGTTGACATGTTCTCCGGCAGTCACACTCCGCCACGTGTGCACGTAGTTGGGTCATGCGGTATTTTCCTCAGGTCGGTTATCTTGCGTTCACTCTCAAATTGGCCCCATTTAACCCGCCTGACGAAGTCGCTTCTGTAGGCCGAACATGTGCTCGTAATCTCGAGAACGTCGTGCTGAGCTTGGACGCGGAAAATCGGTGAATCCTCTGAACTGTGGAGTGTGCGTGACGGGAAACGTTTTACTGGTGCGTTCGTGTGCCGCAGACACGAACTTCATCACCGAAAAATGCGGGTCCTGCGAATATTCCGAGTTCTGGGACGATGGTCATCGGTCTTCGTGATATAAGAATTTTTTTCGAACATCATACTCACACTCCATTTCGACCGCGATTGACGATGAAATTGCGGTCGAATCTAAGGAATAATTCCGCGCAGTCCAAGTGCATTTACACCGAATTTCCTGCTCAAACTGCAACAGCAAGTTACTTCTTGCCTTGCGTTATAACGTCTGAAATTGAGTTTGTTTACTTGAAATGGCTTCGTCGAGTCAGTGCCTCAGTGCACAGATTTTATCAGCTTATAAAAAAAGCGATTCAACTTGGCTTTGCACGTGTTACATGCTCTTCAGAATGCACTGTTTTACAAATCGTGCAAAGAAAAGAATCCTCCGTTACTTTCCAAATATCATTCATTTCTCTTGTTTTTTTTCCTTCAATAACGATGCGGGCAGTAATTGAAGAATATTTATTTTGTGCTGAGAGACTGAGATACATTCTCTATGCACAGGCTTAGATATTTTCATTGACCTATTTTTTGGAATTTATCCGAAATGATTGCCGACAAGAAGAGGATTTTTATAACAGGGAATAAGATTTCTCCAATAAGCTGATAATAATTGGTGAGTTGATTTGAGGACAACAGGGAATTAAACTACGGAATTCCTCGTTTTCTTGCCGACAGCATTCGTCCAAATTTCTAGAAAGTTTTGGATCTTAATTAAAAACCGGTTGCTGGAAATTGGTCGGTTTCTGACAGTTCAATTCTGATTTTATATCCGACCTAGTTTCCTTGAAATTTACAAAAACTGTTTCTCTAGAATATATAATCGCTAGGAAACACATTGAATTCGTGATTTCCATCACTATCCAGGGCTTTAACTCTATAATTCATTTTAATTTATCGTGTCATGAGATCATCTAATGTCGTTTCGATTACAAGCAACACATCTGGATAACGGGAACACAACATTTTCGTTGCTTAACGGATCCCGATGATCCTTCACCAGTACTTGGCGTTGGAAGCAAGTTGAAGCATTTGAAGAAACTCGACCAAATCATTAAAAACACATTTTTAAAACTTGCATTTGAGGTTTGAAAACTTGAAACAAGTTCACGACACAGGATCGCGAGAGATGGTTTATAAAGTCAAGACTTTTAAATTCGATATGCTTGAGATGTTCGAATATAATATTCCTTTAATGCTCCTCAATTCGGTCTTGGCTTGAACGGAAATTATTTTCGTCGAGCTAAATTGTACAAAAGTTAGAAAAATATCTTTGCCCCAACGTCCATAATTGAAGATAATGTAGTGTGAGAGCATGATCTTCCATAAAAAAAAAATCAATGAATGGGCAGAATTACCACCAGAAGACCTCTGACAAGTCCCTGAACAATCTGGTAATGATACCTTAAACTGCCTAAAGTTTTCTAGACATTTCGAGAATTTTTTTTCTCCTAATCTAATCTGGCGGTACTCGATCTTCGGGCTCACAAAAATAACAGGAGACTCAGCGAGTGACCCACGAAAATAAAAGAACATATATTGATTGAAGAAGATAAAAAATCAGTTGACCGTGGAACATGGGGAGAGACTGTTATTTATACAAAATTATGACTCACACAGAATAAACAACACATAAAGATACTGTAAGTCATTAATTCAAGACACAAATAAATTTTGTGTTCAAGGAGCTCTCGCAATAGAAATATTTTCCAAGATCTCCGACATACGGACCATTCTGCGTACGTGTATATACGACAGGAATACCACAAAGATTCAGCAAAATCTGGCAACCTATCGCGACGCATGCAGCTGACGCGCGGGACGCGTGACAGATCTGGGTACGGAGAACGTTCGGGCTCGGGACGGAACAAATATACCCCAGCTTCCTGGGGTCGGAACTCAGCGTCGAAGGACGCGTTCAGTCCTGCGGAAGGCCTCCGACGACACGGACAAAAGGTCGGGACATACGAGTATTCCTCGTGGGGGGGTTGCCCTCGCAGTGGAAATACGTGTCTATATGTGTGTGATGGAATCCACGTGGTTCTAGTTCCGAGACTAATCCGAGGAAGAGAAACCGAGCCTCGACGTCGTTGATCACTGCGTTGCCGGCTCACGTTGTCCCGAACCGCTCCGGATTTCTTGGCAGCTGCTTTAGTGTCGGAGCCGGGCACGCGAATTGGCTCTTATTCGCCGCGAGTCTGTTGTGTGGGATCGATAGTCCGGAAACAGCCCGGCGCGTTTCGGCGTTGACAGCTTTCATGACAAAGCGTTGCCGAAGTTCAAAGGCACCGAGAGTCGTATAGTGAATTCATTTTCTTCCACTTCGGCAGTGCGAGTCGTGTGTGATGAGTGACAGTGCAACGCCGTCTGGCTCTACTCTGAATCCCGCGTTGGTTCACGCCCGCCGAAGAAGCTCTACGGCGCCTCCACCGCAATGGATGACTCACGAGGCGTCCCCTAAAACAGCCTTCATCACTGGGGCTTCCTCTGGCCTCGGACTGGCTCTTGTCAAAGCCTTTAGCGAATCAAACTTTAAGGTAACCATCCGGATTCGTCGTCATGCGGAAACAAATGCAATGTCTTGGAGTACTACCCCGAACTTACTCGAATATTATACCGTCTATCAGGAAACTCCTTCAAAATCGAATAAAAGTTTTCTCGCTTATTTGAGGATCTTCATATTGTACTGACATTCATTCGAATCGAGGGTGTCAGTTTTTTTTTATACCTCAGCTTCAGTTACATCAATTTCATAAGGACCTTCACTTTCTGCGACATTTCATCAGCCACTATCTCTTGGAATGTTTACCTCGTTCATGTTTTTCTCACCTAGGATAGCATTGCTTCTGCAGGATAAATTTTTTGCTGGTATCGCTTGACTAAAAATTGTGACGAGGGTTTTTACAGTAATGTTGCAGACTAAGGCTTTATTTTGAAGTTTGACTTCGTCAGAGATGATCATTAAAAATGCAAATCTGAGAATCTAGAGGAATCTTAGAGGCACTCTCGTTTTTTTTTTAGAGCCAATTTCAGCGAACGTATTTTCCCTTTCCTTCTGATAAACACGGTGATGTGCATCGCTAAAAGAACCGAGGGAGTCTGATGAATTGTCGCAGCTCCTCAGGGACAATGGCTTTCCACCGCCGGTACATTCGTTTGCTTTGTTTCTTGTTCGAGCAATCAGTTTTCCATAAAAGAATGCGCTCGCATACGATTGTTCGTACAGGGATTCCGAAGGATTTAAAACATTAAAGTAATGCGGAGTACGTCATTGTGTGTTGAATATCACGCAGGTGATAGCATCGTGCAAAGAACCGAGTGAGTCGGATGAATTGTCGCAGCTCCTCAGCGACAATGGCTTTCCTCCGCCGGTACAAATGATCGTCAGCGAACCGGACAGCGTCGATCGCGCCTTCAAAATCACCCGCGAGCTCACGTCGTGCATCGACGTCTTCATAAACAACGCAGGTAATCACTGCATGGCATCGTCTCCGATTCTCCGAGCACGGATTACCGGGTACCGCGTGGAAAGGAAAGCGTCGAGGGAGATGACAGGCCCGTTCGGATTACAGCATATTCCCCACGCGCGGCCCAGCCGCGCGGATGAGGATCAGAATGATCATTGGGGCTGAGAGGTACACACGTAATCATAGACAAGGGGCAGCACTGAATGACTGATGCGAGCATCTGAATGGCATTTCAAAAGCCGTCGGGTCTCATCAGCATGCGGAGCTCGCGCGCGGTAAAAGTAGCCTAATGTGCGGCGCGCATGAGGACCAATAAATCCCATTTCCCTCGAGGAACTTCAATTCTTCTAAAATAAAAGGATCGAGAGGGGGAAAATAGAATGTCTTCCGGACGAATGTTATCTCTGGCATCTCGCTGTGGTGCGCTATCCGATTAATCTTCATTTTCAGTTGCGCAAAGTCTTATTAAACCTTCGACAGGTTTCACTCGCCATAATGACTGATGAATCTCCCGAGAGCGTTCGCCAACAAACCGCTGAATTCCTGGTGAAAGAGAGCTTTCTCATGAGTTGTGACCTTCGGGGGCAGAACCTCATTCAAATTCCAATTAATTAAAAGTAGAGCATGCCCCACGGGGCTTGTCGACGAGGCATTTCATATTTTAAAACGCGAGGAAGGGGGAATTCATCAGCTGGCTCAATGAGTATGGCGATTTACTCATTTTCATGGTGATGGGAGGACATCGAGTACTCAATTCGCACGGTGAAGCCTCGCTAATCGCTCAGAACTGGTATTTTTAACTGCTTTCTGGAATGAACCCATTTCATATTACGTGGTACTGTTTGTGCAACCCCTTACATGTGTTCCAAGTCCCATAATAATGGCTTGGATGCGGGTTTATAAGTTCTCATGACATATTCACGAGTTCCAAATTTATAAACCACACTAAAGTTTTACGTTATTCTACTTGGATATAAATGCATTTGCTCTTGAAGTACAGTAACCCCCCACCCCGAACTTGTTTTATCCTGGTCGTCTAATGAATTTCCGTCGAATCATCGTTCTCTTTTACTCTAAATTTTAATTTATTTATCCATCAATAACATTTGGTCAACAGCCCAGTTTTACCCTGGGAACAAGTTAGTAGGATACAGAGAGTAAGAGCTTTAAATTGTCTGGTACATTAAAAAACGTAGATTGGTCTTTAAGGGGTTGAGGGGAGGAGAGAGAAAGAGGGAGGAGAGAGAAAGAGGGATGATGATGATGAGTGATAATGAGAAAAGGCGGTCATTTGTCCTTTAGGGATCCTAACATTCAACCGATCGCCCTATGACCCGGTCATGGAGATCGGCGTGAACGAGATGATGCGGGTGTACGAGGTCAATGTGGTCGGATGCCTTAAGGTCACGCAAACTTTCATGCCGCTCGTGCAGGCTTCATGGCGTCACCCAACTATCATCAACATCTCGTCCCCGCTCGGGTCCCTCGAGCTGAACCACGGCGGCATCCTGGCGCCGTACCGCTGCTCCAAGGCCGCCCTCAACATGCTCACTAAGTCGTTCGCGCTCGAAATGCCGTCCGTCGTGTTCCTGTCGGTGTCCCCGCGGCAGTGGAACTACATCCCGGCCGGCGCCTCGGACCCGACGGACCCCCTGCAGCCCATCAAGCAGGACAGGCGCTACAGCCACCAGCTGGACGAGGGCTCGAGCCTGACCCACGCTGCCGAACCCGTTGCCGACGACCGGACAACCCCTTTTCTCGAAGACGCTTTTCATATCGTGAAGCTGGCCAATTGCGCGCGGAAAGATATTTCTGGCAGCTTTTTCTACCCCGACGGCGAGATGGTCCCGTTTTGAACCTCAGAAATGCCTGTTTCCGCTGATTGCGCTTAATCCTTTTCCCTGCACCCCCACCCCGTTATAACGAACAGCGTTACCGTAGTCACGTGAAGCACTGTAGATTTCCTAGCATTCCGTGAAAATACCGGAAACCCTCGAGAGAATCAAAATAAAGACGCTATAATCAACTTGCGTAGTATAGTATTTCACTCATTTCCGTTTGGTTCATCGTGATAAACTACAGGGACTGCTTTCAGTCCGATGGCGAACAAATACCCCATTTACTCAACTAAACGCCACGCGTATCCACATTCATTTGCCCGAAAACTCGGGTACAACTAATGCTCGAAATCAAGAGGGACAGAGGTAGAGGGGAATTAAACAGACAGGAATCATGCCATGAGAAAAAGAAGCAAGAGATTTTTTCACAGATAATTTCCTGGGGTAATTTCTTTTAGATTACCTAGATATACCACCGCACTTTAAAACGAACTTCTGAGGTCTGAAATACCGAGCTCACATGATCTTGACATAATTTAAAGTTCTAGCCATGTCAAGAGCAAAATAAAAATCAGTTTTCTTCATGCATTGCATTTTCCAACAACAATTTCCGATTTTTCTGTAGCCGACATAATTTTTCCTTCTCGAAATGCTGCCCGAAATCTTTAATTGCGTGAATGCTGTGCAGTAATAATGAAAAAGAATAAGCATCTCCCATTCATTCCCAAAGAATCCAGTTTAATATGCAGAGTTCAATTTTCTGTAACCTAACTCAGTAAAAAAAACATTCATCGAAATATTAAAACAAATTTAACTTTGAAATCACAGTGCAGTATTGTACTTTTGTACATTATAGTACATTACTTCATAGTATCTATATACTCCATGCACTCGCTAGAAAAATTCCAAAGGCAAATGATTGATGTGGATACGTTTTACTCTTGAGTTGCAGTATCCTTTTCGTGGGTTTATAAGCGTTTCTCCCCAGGATACGAAGAAAACTTTGCGCATCCTGGACGAAAATGCGATGACGAAACCCAAGTTATTACTGTCTTAATGTTAATACGACATGAGTAAGCTGTGTCAGAAATCGCCTGTCGTGTGCATCATCTCGCAAGTACTCGGATGACATGCAACAACTGAATGAAGAAATTTCTAGTCGTAAAAAAGTACTGTTACGGCCCGACTAAAGTTCGAGCATGCATAAATTACGGGGTGCTCGTCATTCAAGATCGACGAAACGAGGGACGCAGATTAAATAGCCGCCCTGTTCTTTTGCAATGATTCTGAATCTGATAATTTCTGCACGCAAGCATTTCAAGCATTTCATTCGCTTGACTCTGTTCCAGTTTCTTCCTGACCGGTTACTCCGAAAATTTGCCGACATTCTGAAAACGACTTATTTATCTTCACGCTGAGATTGCGCTCCAAAAAAAATTTCGTCCGGAGAGATTTTGAAAATGAAAAGTCGAATTCCTTTTCAGCCTGCCCCGTTCAGTCGAGTTTCTCAAAACGAATGGCATTTTTTCGAATTTCCGGCAACAAACTTTTTTCAATTAGAGAAGCTCAAAAATTTACGAATATATTGGAATAGATGGCATCTCATATTCCCCGAAACACGTTGGAAGAATGCACCGGAGGAAGGTTTAGCAGTTCCAAACACATGTACACCCAAAAATGTATAAATTTCTTTCAAATGATAAACGAAAGATAATCCACACTGATATGCGAATCTGGAAGGTGATCACCCCTTAATTTTATTTTTTTCTTTGCATTGTACTAAATAGTATTTCCACCGATAAATTGTATGTAGTCTCGTGCGTGAGCAAAAATTATATAGTCCAGTACTCGCACAAGTTCGGTTGTTCTTCATGCAGCGAAAAACCTTCTTGTTTCAAAAATCATGTGAGCGGGATTTCCTAAAAAGTTTATTGACGAAAAGCTCCGCGCGAAGAAACAAGTACTGTTCGCTCGTTTTAATGTCAAATAATTTCTAGAAATTAAAAAAAATTAACTTGAGGCATAATTTATTCTACTGTCATACCGCTTCTTATGACGGAAGTCCCTGCTGTTGACCACCGAAATCAAGATAGACAAGCTGGAAAAATAATGCACGGAAACGACTCACCAGAGACAGTAAGACGAGACACGAAAGCGTCGGTGTGGCCGAGGGCATTGTAGGCCTCGCAAAAATAAATGCCGGAGTCGGCCGCAGTTACAGCGGGGAAATACAGCCAGTGGTCCGTCAGCCCATCACTGAACGAGTGCACCTCCGACGCTGTCGACTCGTCCAGTTCACTGTCGTTCTTCACCCACACGACAGTCATCGTCGGCGTGCCTTTGAAAGAAAAGGCAGATGATATAAATTCATCGTGTACACTTCCCGGCATATACAGCCGATCATTGAACGGTAATTCCGAACTGTTCAAGTCGGCCAGACAACGAAATGAGAGCCGTTTATAAGGCACATACTGTATATGCGAATATAAATCTAACTTGACAGCCAAGTAATCTAACCTAGCAAGTGACATCTAGCATAATGCCTAACGAGACCATGGAAGTTGTTGAAGCCCTTAGTTCACAGCAAATATTTCCAACCGAAGTCATCATGGAATGGCTAGTTCACGGCTGATCCAAGAAAATGAAAAATTAAGCGTAATCAAATTAAAGAATGAGAAGCAGCGTAATCAATTGGCGCTCGCCCCTTAATGGAAATTCATTACGCAGAAAATGTAAGGCATTCTTAAGTTGGCGAAGACTCGAAAATTTCTGTGCGCAACTGAACGTTCGTTAAAAACTCGTTAATTTTTTATCGAGGAAGCATCTCCATAGAAATTGATCCCGAAACGGCAAAAAAGTTTAGAACCTCTGGCCTGACCTTTGCTGCTCTTACTATGAGAAAAACGCGTTTTTGACTCAAACCATAATTTTTTACAACAATGAAGCCGGGTATCATGGTTGGATATTGTTTCAAAGGTCAGGCACGTACTGCGAAAATAATGAACCGTGAGGTCGGCCACACATCGGTTATTGGTAATATACTATAAGATAGAAGGGTTTTACTTTCAAGGTTTTTGCATGCTTTTCTTTTACAGAGGAGGCTTTGCGTCATTTTTTCTTACTTCCATCTTCAGCGAATAAAGTTCATCCTTGCAGGTTTCCTTCCGTCAGAAGCTTTAGAGAGAAAAAGAAGGGCCGAAACTCGACCATGGGCGCAATTTTCAGTTGTGTGAGGTACGGCTTCATAACATGACATGTGTGACTATCAGAATAGCAATGTATCAGATGGAATAATAGCTATTTTTTGGAGAAAGATGAGAGTATATCAATCTTCTTGATGCACCGTCATTTTATTCACGCGGAAATTTATTTTTGTCTTTGAAACCGAGGACAATCCACGCACAATGCGTCTCAATTAGTTGCTGACCCCGGAGACCCGTGAAAGTTACTGTCATACTCTTAACGGTGGAGCCACACGGGAGGAAAATCCTTGTCGGAATAGCAAATAGCGCGATCATGGAAGCAAGGCATTCGAAAGGGGATTTTCCTCGGGAAAAGGAAAAAACTCCGTTGAAAACCAGGGTGAGTTTATATTTTTACTTGATAATTAGAATTGAGAAGAGGATTGCCGTTCGCGCTTGCTTGGGTGCTGACACAACAGACGCAGATGCTGTAAAGCACCCCGGATACAAGGGGTGTGACTCGGTCCAGCAATCCCGCTCACCGAATCGGCGTTTGACGACGTCTCACGAAAGAACCCTCGCAGTTGGGCCCATTATCTCGCCACGAGGGAAGATGGCACGAAGAGACGAGCATGACTTTTGCATTCCTCGCTGACAGCAGCCTGTTCGTTGCGCTACAACTCTTCTAAACCCCCTCCGGGCCCCCACTCTGATCTCTTATGTTGGATCCACGCGCGGATATGCAAATGCACCCTACTCAACGAATGAAAACCCGCCGACGGTCACTTTTTTTCTTCTCTTTTTGCTCCTCGGCTGTCCATCATTGCCCCGGGTCGCCCGATTCACGACATTCACGCCCCTCAGCGAGCATGAAGTAGTCCGTTTCCCTCCAAAACTAAGCCAAATTCGCTGTATGTTTGGACATGTGCGGACTCCGCAATTTTTTCTTATTTGGATGTGCACGTACACTTGTGTCTGCACATATCGAAATGGGAAATATTTCGTTGGGACCTGATTCATCCCATATTTCTCATTCATCTCACACGATGCAGCATTTCCTTTTATCCATGACTTTGACTTAAGAAATTATAAAATTTCATGCCCCATGACCACGAGATTGATTTGATTCCGAGGGCTAAAATACCGCAGAGAGAAAAAATAACTAGTTTTCAATGTTGCACTTACAGTTTTCCAGTGCAGTAAGCTTACCCGACCGTACCGCAAAAAATATAAATCCTATTTGGGAAAATAATTTGTTATTAATCCCGTTCGGAAAGGTGTCAAAATGGTTGACAGAAGGCTGTTCTACGATTTCTGGTACAGCCGGAAGCCTCGGATACGTTAAAATATTTAAAGCATCAATATTCACCACTTCAGCACGCGAGGGAATTCGTAAGTGGTTTTTGATTCGCCGACCATAATTCCAATTAATATCGGAGCCAGGGCCCAGAGGCACGACTTGAAGAAAGTGCACATAAAATCCAAGGGGCTAATCAGGGTAATTTACCGGGCCGGGGTCTATCGATCATTCTAAATTGCATCCAGCCGAGACCGGGCCTTAAAGAAACCCGGCAGCGTCCCGAAGGCGCGAACTAAAAGCGGTCACGTGAAATTCCGTGTAATTTTGAGTAATACTTCCTCGGCTTCAAATTACTTAAGAATGTTTCGAAATCATTATCCGTGTGTCAATTACTGATGCCGTGGTTAATGTGAGTCTCCGTTTCAGAACACACGATCATCGGGGGTCCGAAGGTTGAGGCGTTCGTTTGAGGTTTCAGCCTCCACGCGATGCCGATGTAAATCGACGCACGCATTTCTGGTTCCGTAGCCACGAACAGGCAATCCATCGTCCCGCGGTTGACTGCGTGCATCACGCGTTTCATTTCGCGATTGACCGGCAAGAATCGTCTGTCTGTTCGAAAAAATGTTGGGAAAATTCTCGACGCTTCTCCGACCAGACGAGAACATTCCAACGAAAAAAAGGCTCACTCACAATGGCCTCACCT